TCCCCAACCCCTGCAAATGTTTTATGAGTTTGCATTTGCTTATTTGTGTTGTACCCTATGACCTATAAGTAATCATAAAGTTATTGAATAAAAATTAATCTTTTTAATATAATAATTGGTTTGGGCTAATTATGACTTGAATGAGAAACATCTCCCATAGGACCATGTGTTTAAATACTTGGTTTCTAATTGGTGTGATATATTTGGAGGTTATGGAGCCTCACTGGAGGAAGTGGTCACTGGGGATGGACCTGAAAGTTTTATAGCCTTCCCCACTTCTTGTCTGATTTCTACTTCCTTTTCTTCTGAGATTTTAACAAGCAGCTGCTACCTATTCCAGCCAGCACTGACAGAGTCACATATTCCCTACCATATGGACTGTATCCCCTCAAACTACGAGCTGAACAAATCCTTTCTCTCACAGGTGCTTTGGTCCCAGGGATGACAAAAGTAACTGATGCGACACATGAGGTGATCAAAGTCTGCTGGATCTCAGAGGATGCTCAGGAGGCTCTGACTTTTCTGAGTCCAGCATCTCCCCAGGTGTCTGTTGGGGAGCTTTCTCAACAGATTTGACAGCGGTGTCTTGTTATTTATAAATGGGATAGCTCGTGCCCAAGCAGGCTTCCCCAAAGGTCAAACTGAAAATGAAATCACAGAGTAGGGAGAAAGCTGGGTTCCAAGGAAGACCCATGAACTAAGATTAAGACATCAGAAGATGCCAGATCTACAGGGCATAAGGATAAGAACAAACATGTTGAAGATCAAATATGAAATGTATAATTATGTAGTAATGAGATTGAGACAGTGCAAAGGACAATGCCATTTACATCACCACATCTCAACATAGTAACGAACAGGAAAAGCCCTCCAGCTTCGTAATTATAATCATAGTTGCCATAACAACTCAGTATCTTTCTCCCTGAGCATCCATCTCCAGATTGTATTTTTAGAAATGGGCTGTGCCTGAGTATGTATTTTCCTTTAAATAGCAGCTAATTTTTTTAAAAATTACTGATCCTTCAAAAAAAATTTAAAAGAGTAACAGTCACAGGGATAATTAGGGAAATGAGCAGGTGTGAAAGTCCATTATGAAAAAAAAATTGCTATAAACGTATTGATGTCTTGACAATATTTGTTTCAACAGAATGTTCCATGGAACTGCGCAGTCTCTTGTTCCTTGTCAAGCAGCTTAACATAAATCTCTTCAGTGGGGCTCATAAATATTTGAACAATTATTAGCTGTGTAAGGTGTTTGAGGATTATTTGACAAGTAGAGATTTATGTTGTATAACAGAAATTGGCTTAACGGCATTCTGAGTCTTGGGGATGGATGAGCAGACAAACATTGGCTTACCTTACTTAACAGAAATACAGTAACAGATTCTTGAGCAAAGCAAACAATGAGCCCGTGGCAAACTCAGAAAACAGGAGGGATCCAAGCTGCCATTTTGGTCCCCCTATCTGTCTAGTAGCTGACACACAAGCTGGAAAGCCTGGTTTTATTGCATGGCTATCATCCAAGATAATCCCCTGTTTTATCAGGCTCCACTCATACCCTGTAGATGCTCCCAGCCCTTTGTTGGGGTCTCAGACTGAAGTTAGATAGAAACATTATTAGGTTAAGAACAAAAACAAGAAAAACAAAAACAGAGAAAAACAAGTCTCTGACTGGTGCTATGAAAGACCTTCTCCAAGTTTAGTCACATGATACGATTTTTCTGTCTCTCTTGTGCTCTCTTTGTTTCTGCAGAGGACGTAAAATTGGCAGATTATAATAACCACTAGTTTCTAAAGAGCTTATAAAGGCTGTTCCAGAGGTTACCAAGAATACACCTTACCATGGTCACCTGTTGGGAGTGGAGAGGACTAATTTTAAGCGTGGTGAGCCTGAGATCTCATTTAGATGGATTGAACTTGTGAGGGGTCCTCACTGGGGGAGTGGCATTGGACCTGGAGAGTGGGGGGAACCCTCAAGTGCATGATGTCCTGCATGGGAACAGAAATACCAAGTAAGTGAGGGACCTGGCATAGGTCTCTGAAGGAGACACTGAGAGCCGAGCAGCAGGGGCACAGAGAGAGGTTTTGAAGAATGATGCCAGGGCTGGGAAGCAGCTCACGTGGCAAAGTGCTTGCCTGCATCCATGAAGCCCTGAGTTCAGTCTCCAACACTGCATAAGACCTTAGTGGTACACGCCCATGATTGCAACATTTGGAAGGTCTCTACCAAGAAGCAAGAGGATCAGTAGTTCAAGGCCATTCTTGGAAATATAGTGAGTTGAAGACCAACCTGGGCTGCACAAGACCCTGCCTCAAACAAAACAAAACGAAACACAACCCAAACACCCCCAAAACTACCCCCCAAAAAAGCTGAAAAGAAAAAAGTATCGTTCATGGGGCTTTCTGATAGCTATCACACAGATGAAAGGAGAGATGGGACAGAAAACGGATTGAAGAGACTTCATCAGTGCAGCTGGGAAGGCAGAGGCCTTCCATAAAGACAGGCAGACATTGGAAGGCAGGAAGAGGCTTGGAGATGAAAATGAAAAGTTTAGCTTTGCTATCCTCTCTGTATTTTGTGACCTCTGACTGGATACCACAGGTTTCCAAGTGAGCACCCCCCGAGAGAAGGGGAGACAAGGGCTCCTCCAGGAGCGCTGCTGCTGGCTGTCACTCTGGAGGGCTGGCTCTGAACAATCCGTCTCTGTTGTGTTTGTCCTGCTTGCTCTAATTATGCATCTCTCCAGGGAAAACAAACAAGCAAACATTATCAGTGAGAGCTGAGATGAGTATGGCTCACTTCCTGATTGCATATTCGGGATGTGCAGAGATGCACATTCAGATGGGGGCATTCTCTGGAAGCTCCCCGGACATGGCAGTGCAGGTGCATGCTGCATTGTAGACCTTGTAGTTGCCAAGGGGAGATAGAAAATGCTTTCAGACCTTACAGGTTCAAGGCTACCAAGATGAACTATGCTCTAACTGCTAGCTCAAGCAGGTTGTGCCTGGGACATTACCAGTTTGCCACATGTCTAGGCATGACCTCAGCCATTCTGCAGGATTCAAGGGGAGGATAGTGTTAAATTTCAGCTCCGTCAGAATCATGTGAAAAGCACTTGAGCCTAGTGTTTAGGAAGTTTTCCAGGTCTGCACTGGCCTGGTGTCTGTGTGCAGCTAGAACACCTGGCCTGGGTGATGTATGGCCCTTCTGGCCAGGACTGAAAATGGACCGCTGGGTAGTCCTGATCTACTTAGCTGGGACTTCAAAAGTGTGGCTCACTGATGAAGCATCTCTCCTCTGTGCCACACAAAGCTTTGAGTCTTGTTTTCTTGTCTGGAGTGGCTGGCTTTAGATAAAACAACCCCGGTGAGTGAGCTCAAGGGACAAATACAGACAGAGAAGAGTGGATAGGATTCAGCCCAAATCCACGCTGGAATGCCAGGGGAGGAGGGGCCCTCTCTTCTGTTCTGGAGAACTCTCCTGGATTTTGGTTCCCAAGTATCCTGGAAGCTTGACAACTAGCTCCAAAGCCCCTGGGTCCTTGTGTCAACTGTGATTTTCTCTTGCACTACCTTTCCACTTCAGAGTTCCTAAACTGCACCCCGAAGGCTGGCTGGGTGGCCTGGACAGGAACAATGAGGATAAAAGAGTGAGGCAAAGAGCAACAGCTGACCTGGCTACCACCCTGACATTGGGGGCCTCACGCCCTCTCCTAGGTAAATGGGGAAGCCTTAGCATCATGCCCTCATCTCAGAGCCATCCTTGGATCATATTCCAGGCCCTCAGTGGCACAGTGACAGACTTAAGGGCTCACTGTCCTTGTGGCTGGCAGGCACTATGACGTTCTGGAGGCATCGCTACTGAATCCTTAGACCCTGTAAGTTAAGTGTGCAGAGTAGACTGATGACAATTGGTACCAGTCTTGGACCATCTCAGAGCCTTCTTTAACTGCACAAGCTCTTAAAAGTGGAGACTAGTCTTCCCTAGCTGGAGGTAGAAAAGATAGGGGTGATTTGAAGGTATAGCTTGGGTTTGACCTGTGAATTCTGACTGTGAGAAGCAAGGCAGTGTGCACAGACCCGGGGCAGGCCCTGGAAGGCACACAAAGCAGGCTGCAAAGCAGTCTCAGCGAAGAGCTAGTGTATAGATGGAACCCCATGTGTGTCACTGCCAGGACCTGATTTTAGCAGTATGCTGAGCAGGTATGAAAGCTACCACCCCACCCTTCCCCCACCCATGACTCTGTTGGCCAACACCACACACAGACTTCAACCTGCCCCTGTTGCCTCAGACATTTAATCTGTGCGTCGGTAACTCTCTTATTTTAAGCCTGTCTCCATCTGTTGGAAGAGCCACAGGGTATTGGTGCGGACCCCGGGTCCCCAGTTTCCCAGCACGGAGAGAAGCTGGGGCCACCAGCTTCCTTCTGCTCCGCTAAGAGAAGACTGAGACAGATTGTCTAAAGGTGGGAGGCACTTTCTCAAAGCGAAGGGATACCTGGGTTTTCCAGACAAACCTGACCTAGGAAGAGACAAATGTCTTCTTGTAACTTATGCAGCAGGAGTTCCCATACTCTTAGGCCTTGCTCTCAGAGAACTTCAACCAGGGAACGTGGGGTTCCTACTAGGCCTGGGGTCACAAGACTGGTGGGCATTTCAGGTCAGTCTTAACTCAGGTTTGTTCTGCAAAATGAAAGCCCTGAAATTCTCTCCTAGGATCAGCATGCCCCGTGCCAGCAGAAGGGATGCCCAGAAGGACAGAATACTGCTCTACAACGGAGGTTGCTGACAGTCTTTAAGTGAATGGGCTTCCAACACCTGCGAGAGGCCCCGGGGCGGGATAGGAGGGAGGGCGGGTCTGCTTGCGCCTCTCTTCTCCTGGACGCGCCCCTGCCCGCCCCGCTCCGGTCCAGCCCCGCCCGTCCGGCCTGTCCCACCCGCCATCTGCTCCCGCTGCAGCGCCCGGCGCCCCTATCCCTCGCTGCAGCCTTCATCTGCACCCCGCCCGCCGCTCCCGGGGACTCAGACCCTGCCCGGGGAGCAGGGCAGAACGGGCATGGCCCGTCTGAGGGTCGCCTTCCTGGCGCTGGCTCTGGCACTTGTGGTGGTTGCTTTGGCTGGGGTCAGAGCCCAGGGCGCAGTCTTCGAAGAGCCCGACTATTACGGCCAGGAGCTCTGGAGGCGCGGGCGCTACTCTGAGCATCCAGAGCCAGAGCCGGAGCTCTTCTCGCCTCCAGGGCACGAGGACCTCGGAGTGGAGGAACAGGAAAAGCAGGAGCTGCACCAGCAGGAGCCCAGGCCGCCCCAAAGGGCTACCAAGCCCAAGAAGGCTCCCAAGAAGGAGAAGTTGGTTGCAGAGACGCCTCCACCAGGTAACTTTTAGCATCGGGCAGCCTTGAGGGGGTGCCCACGATCGCGGCACTCCAGGGAGACATCTGGCTTCCCAGTATGCTTCCCTGAGTGAGCCCAGCCGAAGTCCTGTTGTGCCCACTACTCATTAGAGGCTGCATCTGAGCTAAGCCCAGCCTTCTCTCCCTGCCCCCTCAGGCAGAAACGGAACGGTGTACTTTGGGAAGTTGCCTGGGAAGCGGGCCCCAGTGTCCTAAGATTGATGCTCCACCAGCAAAGGAGGTGTCTGTGGCTTCTTGCTGCTCTCCAGAAGCATTTTCTTCAGACTGATTTTATTCATTGGCATGCGACTGGCTGGTATGATTTGGCAGATGGCCTTGGCAAGGTTTGGTCAGTGGCCTTTATTCACACTGTGCCCCTTCTCGGCTCCCTCCACCGCCCCACCCCCTGTCAGTGGGCCCTTTAAATCCACTATGCACAGGATGGCACAGTCCCAGCTGGAGACTTTGGACCACGCCTGGTCCCTGCAGCAGCCAACATTCTGCCTTCTTGGAAAGGGCAGACTACAGGAGCCCTGGAAAGCTGGGAGTGACTGGCAGGCTGGAGTGCCCTATCCATCCCTCACACCCATCTCAAATCCATCCTCACTTTTTTTTTCTGCCCGGGCCTTTATCACAAACCCTGTGAAGAGGACTTCCTCTTGTTTCAGATGGCGATGGCACGGGGCGTCAGCAGCTCAGGGACCAAATTCTATGCCTTACAGTGTCTGTCCCTGAAAGGAGTCATGTGCCAGGTCACAGAGCTCTGAGCTCAGATGTGGTTTTCACTTGGTTAGATGGATATCAAAATCACCAGCCAGGGTGGCAAGGAAAGATGTAGAGCCTCTTGAGGGCCTGGTGCCATTAGAGTACCACCTTTGTATATATGAGTCCCTGCCAGGAGCCATTGACAGTTCTGTGGGTTGTGCAACCCCAAATAGAACTACTGGGACTGCCCGATGTTCTCTGGGGGAACCGCTGGGGTTAAGATGTAGAAAAGCTGCAGTGGCTTGACATCAAGGGGCGGGGTGAAACACTGACTTTGGTAGTGTCCACTGGCCTCATTTAGTTCTCTTCTTGGCTCTGGAAGATGGCTACCCTTGCTATACTATTGATGAGGAGCCTTAAGCTCAGACAGGGGAAGTAACTTATTTTGTCATTTTTCTGCTGGGGAGAATTGAAAGGGTGCCTTACCTGCCAGGTCTTGGGCTTGCCATTTTGGGACCTGGAACTTGGGTTCTACTTTTTAGGCCTCAGCTGCTTCACCTGCAGATAGAAAGAACAGCGTATGCCATTGCACTTCAGTGTGTCTGATGCTGCAAAGCCTTTCCCAGCATCCTTTAGTAGGCCCTGGACTTTAAGCTGTGTTTGTCGCACAGGAGCCCTTCATTCAATCTACACATGGTTTCCGACTATCTGCTCAGCACCAAACTTTAGGTGAAGCCCTAGGGACAGAGAACATAAGACAGACTGGCCCCAAGGACCTCACAGAAGGTGTGTGACTTTGGGGAAATAATCACGGGTATGCTGAGAGCTGCAGAGAACATGGGATGTCAAGAAAATAAATAGACGGGCTAGGCCAGTGCTTCCCGGGGAGGGTGGTGGTGTGTGTGCGGATGACTGACTAGGTCTGATTAGTGAGTCAACTTTGTTTGGTGACCAGTTATAATCCTTTCTTGGTGGCTCAGAGATTCGCAGCCCAGGCCCAGCAGTGGCCCCAGCTGATGTGTCTGGGGCTCAGCTATTACAGCCCGGAAGTAACTTTCCTTCCTTTCTGGAGCATCAGCCTTGGAATAGGATGAAGGAGAAATCAGGTATAAGTTGATTTGCAAGGCAAACAGTCATTTTCTTTTGGGAAACCATCCTGAACCATCCTGCAGATAAAGGTTGGCGACGGGACAGGAATTCAACTGTTCCTGGTGAATATTTAGCCACCTGGGTTCTGTCTCCAGATGAAAGGTACATGCTGAAGCACCAGAACCAGGTTCAGAGGCCTTTGGGGAGTTGCTTCCTGCCTCTCTACTATTTCAGCCATTTTCCTAATGAATCAGGTGGGGCATTTTAGAGCTTCCCCAGATAGGATAACTGTGACATTCATCACATAAATTAATGCCTCTCTTTCTCCCTCCATCTCCCTCTCTATTCTTCCTCCTTCCAGTGTGTGTGTGTTTGTGTGTGTGTGTTCAATAAAACTTTCATCTGTGGAGTGCATGGGCCTGCATTTAATAGGGGAAAGATTAGATTAAAATGATCTTGGTTAGGGGACTCAGCAGAATTTGTATGCTTCAATTGCACAGAGAGGAGAAAATAATACCCACTCTAAGTGGTGGCTTAAGCATGGCACTCACAGTGCTGTGGAGGCATCTTCTGTGTGGCTGGCTAGCTTATGAAGAGGTTACCAATCTCAGGAATGTGCTTCAGAGGAAGGAAGCTGGGGCTCTGGTCTGGGGTGTTAGATGCAAACTTCTGGAGTTTTCTGTGAGACTGATGCATGCTGGGTTCTAGGGCAGGCTAGGCACCGAGGTGGGAGCAGAGGGTAAGATTGAGAGATGGATGAGAGCGTTAAACAAAGAACTGAGTTTGGCACATCATACTTGGAGACAGTGAAATGTTTTCTGCTTAGCCCTGGGAGCATAAAAGCTGGAGTTGATGAAGGAGACATTGGAAAAGTGTGTGTGGTGGGCACTAAGAGGGCATTGTGTGGGTCCCTGAGGAGGCTGGTGCAAGGTGTATTTGGTCTGGCTTTGAGGTTTGGCTTTGATCCTTGGCAACCGAGAAATGTCCCATGGATGCCACATGCTGATATCTTTGAAGTTGGCTTGGAAAATGGAATTCTTTAGCCAATCAAGAGTCCTGGTGAGCATTCCTACTGTGATGGTTGGTTGTCACCTTGACACACCTGAGGAGAAGGAAGCTCAGTTGAAGAATCATCTCCATCAGACTGTGGATCTGCCCGTGGAAGGACTTTCTTGATTCCGTAGGATGGGCCAGTCCATTTTGCGGGTGGTGTTTTCCTTTGGTAGGCAGTAAGGACATGTAAGGATGGTAATTAAGAAAGTCAGCAAGCAGCCTTTCCCTGTGTGCCCTGCTTCAAGCTCCTGCCTCAGGCTTCTCATTCACGATGTCACAGAGGCATCTTCCTCTCCTTCCCTAGCTTTCCTTGGTGATGAACTATAACCTGGAAGTTAAAATCAACCTATTCTTCCCAGGTTGCTTTTGGTCATGGTGTTTATTGCAGCAACCGAAGGGAAACTAGAAAACCTACTCTGAAAAAAACTAAAACTTGAAATGCTTCAAAATCTGAGCCCTTTGAACACTAGCATACTCATACTTATGCACAGTGATTATACAGCACACTGCTTTAACTCAAAGTTACCTCCAGGCTATGTGTGTGGTGTGCATGACACACAGATGAATTGCGTGGTTGGGAAAAACCTTGGAATCTGAAGTGCCTTTGTTCCTAAGAACTCGCACCCGGGATGCTTAACCAGCACTTCATTTTCAGCGGAGAAGGGCCTAGCTACCCTGAAGGGATGAGAGCACTGCAAAGTATTTACTTAAAGGTTTAGTTTAGAATAATTACAGACTCATAGGAACTTACAGATATATTATGGTGAGGTCCCATAATCCACCCCTCGGCTTCCACCAATGGGAAATCTTGGGTAACTCTAGTGTAAGTCCTCCCCACACTGGCACTCTCGGCATTTTGGACCTAGTATACACGTGCTTGGAAGGACTGTGAAGTGCAGGATATATAGCTTTGACCCATGAGATACCATTAGGACCTTCCTATCAGACCTCACAGGCAAAAGTGTCTCTGAACCTTGCCAGCCATCTTCTAGGGATTGAGACTCACCACTGCGTGTAGAAAGCATGACATGGGACATTATAAACACTATTAGTTAGCTTGTAATTTACATTTCAGAAGTTTCTCCATGCATTTATGTGTATATGTATATGTATGCTTGAGTGTGTATGCATTTCAGGAGTTTCTCCATGCATGTGTATGTATATAATGCACATATGTGCTTTTGTGTGTGTGTGGTGGGGGGGGTCCACCAAGACATAGGTCTGTGGAAACCTTTTCTAAGGGTTAGGGGATTTTGGTGTCATAGTCTGTCTGAGGCCTTTCTTTACGCATCAGTTTGGCCCAGAATATTAGAACTTTTAGGAAAATAAATGGTCACTGTGCAGATTCCTAGGCACTGCAGGCTTCAGACAGCGGCTCTTCAGCCTCTACACCACTCCTGTCCAGATGGGCTCTTCCCCACTTCAGGGTCATGTTCAACTCACTGGACAGACAGTACTGATTGCTAGACTATTCTTCTTCATTGACAAGCTTTTTCTGACTTTATTTATTCAGCTGTTTCTGATTGAATTCCAGTTTCTGCAGCGGAATGCTTTGAGGTCCCAGGAGTGAGCCTCAGGTCCCTAGTTTTCATTATCCAGCACAAAGAATAAGAGAGCAGGCCCATGGGGTTCATGCCAGTGGATTCAGGGTGTGCTTAATTTGTGGTCACCCTCATTTTAGAGGATAAAATGTAGCCAAATGCTGGGCAGTGGTGGTGCACACCTTTGATCCCAGCACTTGGGAGATAGAAGCAGGTGGATCTCTGAGTTCGAAGCCAGCCAGGTCTACAGAGTGAGTTCCAGGACAGCCAAGGCTATGCAGACAAACCCTGTCTCAAAAAACAAACAAACAAAAAACCAAAATGTAGCCAACTAATAGACTACAGTTGCATAATTCTTCTGTCTTTTCCACTCACAGGGCAGATAGAAACAACAAACAAACAAGACTAAGGATAAGTGCTTTGGGTATTGTGTTTTCTTCCTCCTTTGCTCCTTGGGTTAGAAGCTGGCTCTGATATGGAAGCTTTCAATCTGATTTCCCACTGGCTTCTTTGTTTGTAGTGTTTGCAGGAACAGGCTAGAAGGTACCACTGTTAGGATCTGGACAAACCCACAGGGACACCCCCTAGTCCTGA